GATCACTTTCCTCTTTGGCCCCATAATCTTCTTGATCAGAAAATTTTGGGACACTACCGAGTTACATTACGTTACAGTACAAGTTCTCATATGTCCTGAGTCTTAATTGTGGTGTCTTATCTTGATACAGACTCTGCTCTGTCAGAGAGTGGACCAGTAGGAATTCACAGTTCCACTTTTGCTTTGATTGTTAAAACATTGATGAGGATTGTGGGTGAAAAAATACTTGGTTCTGCATTTCATTCTTTTTCGGTTAATATTCATGTGTTGGGGCCGGGGGGATGGCTCAGTGGAATAAGGGCTTCCCTGGCAAGCGCAAGGGCCTGAGTTCAATCCCCAGTTCCACAAAAAAAAAAAAAAAAAAAAAAAAAAAATTCATGTGTTACCAGTTAAGTACTAGTATCTATGGTCTAGAGGGAGAGGAGAATAAAGTAAAAGTTTTGTTTCTTTTTCCTGTAGTAGTTTGCTTTACTGCTGTTTTGTTCTTTCCATCTAGAGAACCTGCCTGTGGTTCCAGTTTCAGTGGTGGTGGGCATAGTGTCTGCCGTGGTCTTAGGGCTCATTCTCTTCATCAGCATGATCCTGGCTGTGCTCTATCGACGGAAAAACGCTAAACGGGATTATACTGGGTAAGAAACGCCCTTCCAGGGGACGAGGGTAAAGAAATCAGCTTTATGGAAGAAGGATTGTGAAGTTATGTACTGTTGGCTTTCACCTCCAGAGGCGAGCAGAAATCAGCGGCCTGCTCTTCAAGGGGGAAAGTGACAATAATCACTGGGTGACGGTTTGCTTTTTAGGTTTGGTGAAGTGAACTGCTCAGCAGCCTGGGTGCTCTGCTGCAGGACCATCCACCTGCAGTTAGTGTCCCTCAACCACAAATGTCACTTTCCCATTTTAAGAGTTTTTGGTCTCTTGATGCTAATCGTCTCAGGTTCTTCATTGTGGCTGGGTAAACGTAAAACCCTAATGAAGATGTTGTGCTAATAAACTCCCACATGGCCCAATGAGATGGTGAAGGGCTTCTTTTTTCGTAGTTCCCCCGCAATCCAATCTTAAGCATTGCATTGTTGGCTAGGTTCACCCACATTGCTGTCTGTAAAAGTTAGCACCATGTACCTGCGATAAGGAAATGCCAGTTTGTGTTTTGTTCATGGCTTCTGAGAAGGGACATCTTTTAGCTTAGGGTGTGTGTCTGCTTATAGCACTGTCTCCCTGTTCCTACTGGAATGCTAACACATATAATCATTGGAGAGCTCCCGTAGTAATCACAGGGTGGGTGCTGATTCAGTTGCCATAACATAGGCAGTGTGACAGGTGTGCAGTCCACCTGTGACCATCCCATTGCCACTGCGCATGGAGAGGACTGCCCCAGTTCTCTTGCTAGTGGATGGTGGGAACCTCTAACTTTTGGCCCTGCTGATGCAGGGTTCTGAGGAGTGCTGTGTTTGAACAAGTCTGAGTGTTTGAGTTCAGATAATACTTGCCTAGAGAGCCTTGTTCTGCTGATTGCTGCTCCCTGCATGGTGCGTGTTCTGTGATTAAACATAGCCAAGTGTTAGTTTTCCACATGACACTAATTCAGGGTGGCAACATGCCAGTCTGCACTTCTTGCTTTGGGGTTAATGGAGGGGCCTAGAAGTGCTGCTTGGAATCCTGCATGGCATCATGAGCGCTGAGCTTCTTACTTTGGTTTTCTCCCCCCTCCCGTGCTTATCTGCCTTGCTGTGCTGGGGTCAGGTCCTGCTTATCTTCCACTTCTCAAGAAAAGCTGACGTAGAAGACACTGGCACTGTAACAGGGCCAGATCTCCTTTCCACTCCCAGTAGACACATGGTAACTAATCACATTGCCTGTTGGTGTTACTATTCATGTGTATGTATCATCTGCTTACCTTGTGGACAATTAACTGACTAGCTGTGCCCAGTAGGTAGTACAGTATGTCCCCAGATGTGTCACGTCATTGTCTGGGAAACATGTCGAGTAGAATATCCAGGTGAAACCAGGTTCATCTGAATATACATGTTCTTCATGTAAAATTCTGTTATATGTGTGTGCGCGTGTGTTTCTTCATACATGAACTTCATTATCAATGATTATGGCCCTCTAATGTTAGAATAATCAAGCCATCTTGGCTCAGGGTTTGTAGCTACCACCTCAAAGAGCAGTTGGCAGAAGGCCTGGTGTGTTTGGCCTTAATGATACTTTAAGTGTGGTCCTTGCCAAACTCTTAAGCTTTGATCATAATAAAGGCTTGAAGGTGCAGTAATGACACATCTCAGTAGAAAAATCACAAATGAATTACTTCCTGGCATTCAGGGTCCTGATTTATTGATGAAAGTGCTTTCTGTCCAAGATTCCCTCTCCCCCGAAGAAGTTCGGTTCCAGTCTCATTATTTATGACTTCCTATTTGGTTTGTTTTGGAGTCCTCTTTTGTATTTTGTTTTGGGAGTGTTCAGTTGAGCTATGATAGAAACAAAACATGAGAACTAGAGAATAGGGAAAATGATACAGGCCAATACTAGACGGCTCTGAGACTGTGAACTTGGCCCTGTGCCTGTAATTTTTCAAAAACGTTCAAAAAATACTCACCTTTGATGACCATAAAGAAAAATTGCCTTTAAGAAGGTAGAACTAACTCCTTTAAAACTTTACCTCAAAGGAGGATTGGCAGGGAGAAAAGGTAATGTGGCTGAAGGGTAAATGTGTCTCGTGGCAAGAATCTCAGCGCTGCTGCTGGAAGCTGGGGGAGAGGGTCCTACATGGATTCTTTTGCCACCACCAGTGATAAGTTCATTGGCTTAGAGGAACAAATGGGTGTTAGGGATGCAAAATAGCTTTAAGTTATGTAAGCCAAAAAAAGGTGGCCATTTTTATACCTGTGGTTTTGTGTCTTCTGTTTTTATACAGCTGCTGTTTCACCGTACCTAATCCCTTGTATCTCTGTACTTTTTTCCCATTTAATTTCTTTCTTTTTTTTTTTTTTTTCTTTTTTACATTTGTTCTCCAAATTGCCAATCCATCAGCTGCAGTACATCGGAGAGCTTGTCACCAGTTAAGCAGGCTCCACAGAAGTCTCCCCCTGATACACAGGGTCTAGTAAGGAGTCTGCCTTCCGGATCGCACCAGGTAATGGCCAAGGCGGTTCTGTCCTCTGCCCTGGGCCCTGCGGTGTGGGGCCTTGTCGCTTTCTGAGTACAAGAAAGAGTGCTGAGCTATGAGAGAGACAGATGAACAGACAGACAGACAGGCAGGAGGAAAGGGAGGGAGACAGGGCAGTTAAAGGGCTGGTCTGAGGAAACATGTGGAGAAGCACCTGGCCTGAGTCCAAGTTACCACCAAACATCACTAAACTATGGTTCACTCAGCCCAAGTGGAATTAGGAAATGGCTCAGAGGGCAGTCTACAACTATAAGAAATTCTTTCTTAATTGTTTGTGGAAACAAATGCTAATGAAATATAT